TGTCAATTGTGTGTAGATTGTAAAATGAGAGTTAACTGTAGGGTTACCATACGTCCAGGTTTTGCCAAACGCGAATTTCCGTTTTACAGGAAGGTTAGGAAAAACTCATTAATATTCATAAGAGAAGCACTACCTGATTGGCCAGTGAATGTGAAAAATCGTTAATAGATAAACTCATTCACAAACTCATTAATAATCCCTGGACATGTCCTCTTTTTCCTCTCACCAAATATGGTAACCCTAATTTTGAGCACCTGAGCATTAGCATGGCGCTCCTATGTCCTGGAGATACACCAGGTACCATTTGAGCTGAACATCTGATGTGACTTATTATCTGATCTGGGGGTCAGCATTCCTTGCACTATGTGACCTTTGACTGTCTACTACCATCTTGGGATTCTTGACTACAGAGCTAATTAACTGAGACCGTTTATTCTTCATGTGTTTTGCTGAAGGCTGTCGGGCTCTCTACCTCTGGCCTTGCTGAGTCCGCCGGTGTCTCTGGAGCGTGTGCCGTCTCCAAAGGTGGGGGCTCCAAAGGTGGGGGCTCCCTGCCCCTGGAGTCGCTTCGGCCTGTAAGCGATGACTCACGGGCCCTGAAGTTCGGCTAACTCTCTCCAAGCGGCCGTAACTTTTAAAAGGTCCTTTTCGGTTCTGGTCAGCACATCATTTTCTTCAGCACACTGGAGCGGGAGGTGAGAATGAGCTGGAGGAGGTTGGATCTTACCTCCTGTGCTGTGACATCAGGAGAACTTCAGACACATTCATACGGACAGTCAGGGGTCACTTAGGGTGGTTCAGTACAGAGTCGCTACCAGGGCCGGCTAAGTACAGCAGCTATAGAAATGTTTTTATCCACACCAGTTGCATTTTTCCTCAAGTATATTGCTGGATATTTTTCCGGAGCAGTTCAGTTTAGGTACCAAGACTTAACGTGCTTCTGATAGTCGTACCAGCAACCTTCAAGCCCTTAAAGCTATACTACCAGCTGCCCAAATAGCTTACAGTATGCATGTGGAGTTTTCAGTGATCTTTAGGGAGGAAAGTTTTTAGACTTTCCCTGGACTGCTAATTAACACTGAGCATAAGAAACTCCTCAAAGCCGCCATGCCACCTCCTCCCCACCTCCTCCACCTCCCAACAGCCCAGGCGCAGCTCCCTCCTCGGAGCTCAAAGCTGAAGATCAGGTCCCACCACTGATCATTCACATGCAGCAACCCAAAGCTCTCAATGGTCTCTCTACTTGAGGCACAGATTTACTCACATTTTGAGGATTCTTCCTCATTCAGTTACTAATGTCTGTCTGTTCTTTGTGGGTTGTGTCAGACTGCTTTATCTGTAGAAATGTGTGAACACATAAATACAAAACGAGTATGTGCTACATCGATTGGGGGCTTTGGATTGGGAGGTGTCGTTTGTTTGCTCTAAGTTATGACTCGTCTCCCACGCGGCTCTCACGCAGATTATATCTATACCCTGGAGCGACGGGGTGTTTTATTTATGTCTCTGTGTTTCTGAGAGTGTGTGTCCTGCATTTTCATACATTGTGGCTGTGTAGCCATAGCATGTTTCCCTAAAAGGGGGCGGAGGCCCAGTGAGCGCTCGCCCACCTTGTGCTTACGGCTCCTGTCGTGCCCATCACACGCTGAGAGCTATTCTCGCTGACTGACTGGTAGTTCCTGTCCCAGTATTCAGTGTCAGGCTTATGCTGGAGCTCTGCTGGCTAATAGCAATGTACTAAAAGTGCTCTCTCTCTCTCTCTCTCTCTCTCTCTTTGCTTTTCTGAAACCTCTACACCACCTCCCTACTTCTCTCTCCCTGTGCATCTGATTGAACTGGGACACAGTTCTACATGCCCCCCACCCCCTTACCTGACCAGCTGGCCCACCAGCTGTGTGGAGTTTTCCCAGGATCCATGGATTTCCAGGATTTGAAGTTCGCTGCCATAAGCATTTTGTGCAGTAAGCATCTCGCGCCGCTCATCCAGAAATGCACTTTTTCTTGAGCTTTCCAGCAATGTACCCATTTCTTTCTCGTTATTTGCCTGTTGTTACTGTGCAAGATTGATGGCTAAACACAGCTGGAGTTTTTTGAGTGCCTGGCATGCAATGCTGCCCCCTGCTGGAGGAAGGCCGCCAGTACTTGCCGATCGCTTGGCCCCACACCATTGTAAAGTGCATGCTTAGCCACGTCTTCTTGGAGCCTGATGCTAAGCTTTCTTGCCCAGGAAGAAGAGTCTTGTTGCGCTGCCTTGTGGCAATTTGGGGCAACAGCCAGAAAAAGAAAGCTAGATTCCACGATCTGGCCACACAATACTCTCCTTAATACCTCCTAAAACCTCAGATGAACAGCTTATAGTTCAGAAACAGATACCGGTGCCTCAAATGAACTTGCTCAGGTCAAATTTTTATATAGTAAGAATTAAAATGAGGTTGGCGCTCCATCTAGGGTTGTTCCCTGCCTTGTTCCCCTTGGCCTCTGGGATAGGCTCCGGACCCAAGCGGTTTCAGATAATGGATGGATGGTTGGAATTAAAATTAAGAACTTTTAATATGACCAACTGCAGTAGGGGAGGCAGTTTCAATCAGAAGACAGCTAATCAGAAAACAGCCAATCAGAAGACATCCAATCAGAAAAACAATGAGTCTGAAAGATCATTACTGTTATACCTCCAGCATTCTACTCCCTTTATTTAAGACACATGTTTTGCCATGTATTTATAATATCACAGGATTAATGTAATCTTTTTCATATTTACATTCAAGTTTAATAGTTTTCTGACAATCAATATCTAATTTTTAAACATTAGTAATGTTTAAAAAATTCACCTCCTGAAAGGCAAAGTTCGGGGATGCACACAGTGGAGCTACATTGTAACTGTTTGTGTCAGAGTAAATCACTGCGGAGATACAGTTTATAACAGTGATGTGAGTGTAACACAGCAGCAGCATCAGTGAGCGATAAACACATTAATGTCACGTGATTCCTCAGGCTTGGGCACCCTACAGCGCTCGGTGCCCCAGAGCTGCACACAGCCTGCAATAGGACTGACCCAGCAGCTCACTCATACGACATCCATCTTTGCTTCAGCTGCGCAGTGACCCCAGTTTCTGCGCAGTGCCCTTGGGTGTGCGCAGGCACCCTGCATCCCACCCACTCTCTTTTTCTCTCGCTGTACATGGCCACTGCCACGCACGCCCTACGTGACTCCGTGGCGTCACCTCCACGCACGACGAGCCCGCGTCCCCGCTGTAGCTCCGCCCGCTGGCCGCATATTCACACGCTGACGGCTATGCGGCACTGGGCTGCGGAGCGCCCGCGGATTCGTATGCGGCGAGGCCTTGGGGCCCGCCCAGGCTGGCTGCAGCACACAGGACCCAGCAGCAGTCCCAGGTACAGCAGGACGCAGGCCCAACAGGAGCTCAGCTTCACGTAGAAGGTGGACCAGCTGCCCTGGGTGAAAGTGGTCTCCAGCACGGCCGACTCGTAGCTGTGGGGGCAGACGAGGCGTGGATCTTACCCAAAACCTGCAGCCAGAGTTCCACCAGCTGGGTATTTAACAAGAACAATTCAGGTTAAAGGCTACTGCACACCAAGTCCATATTTTTTGTATGTGTGTTTCTAATGCGTCATCTGATAAATATCTTTATGCACAGAAACCTTGCCCACTGAGTCCGATGCCTTTTATTATTTTATAATAGCGAAAATTCACAATATGAGACAAAACAGACTCGTCAAGCAGTGAGGATGATTTTGTGGTCCTTTCACGTCTTCTGAGAGGGAAAAAAAAGAGGAAAAAAATGTTTCTATCCTCTGAGAACCTGAGGATGTAATGTGGAGGTTCTTGTCCTGAGAAGGCATCAAGAGCATGGAGAATTTGAGCATGGAGAATCGACACAACCTGAGGTAATATTTATTTTTAAAAATGCGATACTTTCAGTCGAAAAGTACAGACTTGGTATGCAATGGCCTTAAGTGTGCTGCTCTCGTGTCAAATAGCAGATGTTCTCATAGGGATCTTCAGTCCATGTCTGCAACCACTGCACTACTGCTACATCAACTTACTAACAGGACTCTACATCATCCACGTGTCGTCAAGACTGCTTGTCCAGTGCAACATCAAAGTCGGAGGTGGGTAGTTCAGGTTCAGAGAGTAAAAGTCTTGATCTGGCCCTTTTACTCTCTGGACCTGAATTGTCCACCTCTGGTCACAGTGAACTTGGAACGAGCAGGGGACACCATGGATGGGAGGCCTGTCCATCACCAAGCACACATTCACACAATCACACATCGTGGGCAATTTAGAGATCCTTCAGAATGCATGGTTTGATGCATGGTTTCTCCTGATTGCAGGAGAAAACGTACATGAACATACAGAGAACATTCCAGACACACAGCCAGGGGCACCAGTAATATACAGTCTACAGAAAACTGTTAATTGGCTGCATCCTTACATACAAATGGTACTTGTTTCACACCTAAATCCCATAAAAATTGGCAGGATAACCCTTCAAACCCTGAGTCTATAAAAGAACCTCGAGTTATCCATGTTTGCTCTTGTGTGCGGTGCCTCACAGCCTGAGGGACATACCCACCTGAACCAGTTGGTGAGGGTCATCATCACATAGAGAGATGCCAGGAAGAACACGAAGTGGAAAAAGAAGTAGCTGTAGGTGACCCGTTGGTTCTCGTTGTGAATGACCCTCTGTCTCCCTTGAAAACCTTCATCCACCTCAAACACCACAGCTGCAGAGGAGCGAGACAACGGCCCTTTAGGACAGGACATAGCGGTGGAATGCCGTAGATAGACAATAAAAGCAAATCTAGGTCATAAAGCAAGCAATTCCAGAAATTTCTACAAATGCCTAGTCTTACCTGGTTCCTGAGCCACTGGTTCTTCTAGGTAGCAGAAACAGCAGGTGGCCTTCTATAAAGGGAGGAGGATTTATGACATTAGGAGGACATCCCCATGGCCTACAGGCGGAATGACAACGACCACTTGCCGAGGATGTTTACCTTGAACTCGTAACGATAAACTTTGATCATCCAAAAAGGGCCGAACATCTCAGCCAGGTAGGAGGCCTCGTTGCTGAATGGATGAAGGGGGTAAAATTGGTTTCATGGGACACATCAGCCTTTGAGTCAGACTAACCCTGCTTCACTGTGTGTCGGGGTACCCACCAGGCAAACAGCACACAGCAGTACATGATAGCCGCCCCAATAATGGCCACAGCATTGCCCTCCTTCTGGATGCCATCTTGGCTCACGTTGGGGTGACACACGGTGATATTTGTACCCTCGTACACTACTACAGACACAAAATACAAATATAGCTAAGCCGGTTCTTCCTCTCTCAAATGCTAGCAGTCGACAGGAAGAGGGGAAGCCTGCTGGGAGCGAATAACTTCCCAGGCCATGGTACCTGTGTCTGGGGGGCGACTGGAGAGCGCCGAGAAGGTCAGGTACATGACGTAGCAGCTGATGATGGACGCCTGCAGCAGGCCGGAGCGAGGCTGCCCTGGCGATACCAGAGATGGGAGCAGGTCAGCAGGCGAGGGGGTGCAATGGGACTGGGGGTCTGTAATAGTGAATGACTCTGAGGCATAGAAACAGTGGAACGTGGGAACACTTTGGGATTAATGAATCTCATTAGCAGATGTAGCCCTCAAAAGTACCTAAGGAAGACAAGGTTAGGTGGGATGTTTGAGTGGCTTGGACAGGGAATGTGTCTGGGTCAACCCCTGTGGTCCCACTCTGTGTCCCTTCCCCGTTTGGCCAGCAGGTGTCGCTGGTCATCCCATCCTTCATGTTAGTCTGTGTTCTCCCCTGTTACCTGTCTGGTCACATGGCTCAAGGTGTTGAGCATGTGGTTGCCTGTGATCCTTGTCCTGTGATCGAATCCTGCCTCCTATGTTTTTGTATTTGGCTCCCTAGTGTTTCATTTGAGTTTTTTACTTGAGTAGTTCTTGTATCTGGTGATTTTGTATTTGGTTTTTGGTTTTGTTCCTTGTGCCCCTACTTGTGTCTTTACCTGTCTGTAATTCCCCAGTGTTAGTTAGTATTTTTCCTTGGTTAATCCTTAGTTTCCCTGTTTTTAGTTCCTTTGAGTTTATTAGTTTCATCTGTGCCCTGTTTCCCTTGTCTTTGTTAATTAGTCTCACCTGTCCTGTGTTAGTCTCGTTACCCCTTAGTATTTTAGTTCCTGCTTCTGTACAGTTCCCCAGTGGTTCATTGTTGTTGCTAGATGTTTGATGTTTTATTGTGAAGGTTCTGTTGTTTGTGCTTGATTATTATTCCCTGAGTTAGATGTGTATTTGGTTTTTGTTATTTAGTCTTTGTTAATCCCCTTTAGTCTTTGACTCCTCGTGGTCCTTTGCTGTGTCCATAGTGTTTAATAAACCCCTTTGATTTTGCTGTGTCCGTAGTGTTTAATAAACCCCGTTGTCGTTCTTGGAGCCGCCAGTGGGTCGTCCACCTTTTTTGTGCCCGTTTCATGCCACGTTCCCGCACCAAACCCGTCTGGGTCCATGACAGGAATGGAGTTATTAAGTGATATGTGGAGAGTAAAAGGATGTAATGTGGAGGTTTGTGTGCTGTCCACCCAAACGAATCAGCCTCATAAGTCCCCATAAGTCATTATGGTTGAATGTATGTAAATGTTTTAATGTCTTTGTGGAAACTATATGTCAGAAACTACTGAGCATGACTTCAGGGGGGTGCACACAAAATAAATATGAGGTTTCATAAGTGTCTGCATAACAACACAATGTTCTTCAGTTTGTTTTTCATGTATGATTTTTGAACGGCTGCAAATTCTTCATTTCCGTAAAACGAGAGTCCTTAGGTAATGCATTTGTGTGTGTGTAGAGACAGCAGGGGGCGCTCACTCCTCTGTACGCAGGGCGTGACGGCGAGGAAGGACATGAGGACGCAGAGGCCCAGGTTGGTCCACAGCAGGGCCTTGTTGAGATAGCAGGCCGCCGGGTGCGTGTAGTACTTGTACATGAAGTTGAAGGCGGAGGCGGCGACAGCGTAGAAGAGAAGGGTGGCCAGCATGATGGCTGCATACCAGCACTTGTTCTTGGCAGCGCCTGTTAACCTGGGGGGGGGGCAGCAGGTGACACGTTAGCTGGGAAGATCTCCCAGTGCAGCCATAGGAACAGAGACCCTTAATATTATCAGGGTTCTGCTCATATATATATATATATATATATATATATATATATATATATACACACACACATATACAAAATATATATATAATATAAGCTATGATGATGTATTGTGTATTTTCCTATGCCTTCCCACAAACCCACAAGCTAGCCCCCACCTTATAAACACCCCTCCCAAACTAGCCGACCCCAAGCACCTGTACCCACAGCTGTGCCCTTAAGCCCCTCACCAGTTCTTATTCCAGGTGTGAGCGAAAGCTGTGATGAGGATGAGCTGGATAAGGATGAAGGCCAACCCCCCCACCACTCCAATGTAGTGCCAAGCTGGGCGGGGGAAGAAGAACGCAGAGAGAAGAAGGACAGACTGAGAACCGCCGAGCACCAGGCTCCGCCTCAGCATCACTACATTCCACGTTCTAACACTCTAGAACCTTACGTGGAGTGACTCATTGTGCACCACAGCTATCATTTATTCAATAGTGAGAGCTGCATCTGTATAGCAAAACCTCTGAGACAGAACTGCAAATGACTATCAAAAGAAACCAAAATAAGCTTATGAGCACTTACCCTTCACCAACATTTAAAAACATTTTTTAAAGCATGATTTCACGTAATATGTTTGGCTATATCAGTAGTTCTCATACTTCTCTCGGAAATCCCAAGCAATTCCCCATTTTCATTAAACTCATTTCATTAATCTTCAAGTCCATAATTAGTTGACTCAGACGTGCGGAAGCCAGGACTATAACAGTTATGTATGTAGCGCTTCAAGGATGGGTCTGCGTGCTGTCCCAGGAAGATTAGGCTCTCGTTAATGAAGGATACCGGCACGGTCTGACTTTAATAATTATAAAGATGTTCTTTAGTGGCTGATAAGCTTTAGCATTTGAAAAAAACTGCTGAAAATATTATAAGAGATGCAGCTCAATGAATCTGTTGAGTTCCTTGCATGTCTTAAAGAAGTCTCCTCTTAATAAACTTCAAACTAAAACGATTCCCCTAATATGCAGACAGGCTTAGTGGTTTGGAATTAGAAACAGAGGTGTGGATCTGGGCATTGCTTTGATGTATGTCTTGTGCGCGTGTGCATGTGCATAAAAACCTGTTGTTTTGACATTGTGGGGACCAGTTTTTCAGTCCCCAAAAGGGGAGACTCAGTTTTACAAATCGACAGCAATCACCCATCTATGTAAATAACCAAAAAAGGGAGGGTTATAACCCAGCACAGAGTAGAGGGGAAGAACACAAGAAACAAAACAAGACAGGACACCAAACCAACACAGCACACGCAAACAAAAAACACACAAACAAAAAACAAAACCAAACCGAAAGACAATAACGCAAATAAAACAAACCACAGCATGGGACGGGACGGGGGGAAACAAACACACACACACAAAACAAAACAAACAAACACAAAAGAAAGACAAACAAAACAAACACACAGCCAGCCAAGGGACGCAAAAAAAACCACGACAAACAAGAGGCAACAGACAAAACAAACAAACCAACAACCACCCCGCCCGCAGCAAGCAAACAAAGAACAAAGAAAGTCTTTGCTTACTTACGGATACGGAAAGGCAGGGCTAGGGAGGGCAGTCATCGCAGGAAGGAGGGTCCCACAAAAAAAAATGAATGGACGCCAGAAAGAAAGAAATAAAAACAAACGTGTGTGTGTGTGTGTGTGTGTGTGTGACTCACCATGCAAGAATGAGTCTGTCGGGATGAAGAAGGCAGCAGTGCACATAGCCACCAGGATTATGAACTTCAAAAGCCAGAACCTGTAGTTGGGGCAAGATTGGGGCAGGCGATGGAAATGAGGATCAAACTCGGTGAGGAGAAAGACGCAGTCCAGACGAGGCGAGGGATGAAGGGGATCAACTGAAACCAACGTGGTGCATTTTGATAAAATAACCTCCAGCCCCACCCATCCGAGCAGAAATAAAAGCTTTGAGAAGGATATTGAGGTTGTCCCAGTAACTGCTCCTAAGTCCTTAATCCCTGCAGCCTCAGCCTTCAAAGTCAGGTGACTGATATCAACATGCCGAGGTGGGGGGTGCCTACCCTACCATTTGACTTTCTGGTGGTGCTTAAAGTCCCTGTTACTTACTAATGTTCTCTTCACACGTCTGTAAGTAACTTTTAGATGAATGTCAGACAAAAAAAATCCAGAATTCTAGGAGAAATGCACACTAACGAACTTCTGGGATCTCTGGACTCTGTTGAGTTTAGTTTGATTTTAGAGCTGAAGCAGAACGGCAGGTGCACATAGAAGACGGTGCTGTTTGTCATCCTCGGTCTATAGAAATGTGACAGGGAGAAGCTGTGCGAAGCTGCCCACTGCTAAAAGGACTGGAAGCTTCAGATGGTACTGACCCGTTCTGGATGAGGGCACGGTAGTTTTGGCTGGACCTAACGTCGATGAGGAAGAGCGCCATGACGAGATGGAAGCAGGCGGTTCCGAAGCAGACCCTGTATACTGCCGAGTATCCCACCAGAATCTGACAGTCCTCACCCCCGTGGGCGGGGCCACACAGCAGGGTGAAGAAAGGCACCTGTAACACACACACACACACACACACACACAACCCTTACTGCTGCATATTCAGATTCCAGTACATTTCTCCCATTTTATATTTTATTACAGTACAAGGGACATTAGCTATGTGTGACTCATTGGGCTAAACCACTCTGCATATGTTTGTAAGGTCGCTGGTTCAAGCTCAGCAGTGACAGAACAGTCACACATTGGTGGGCCCTTGAGTGAGGCCTTTAACCCCCCCCTGCTCTCTGGGTGCTGGATGCTGGCTGCCCCTGTGCTGTGACCCCAAGCTCACTCTCCCCTGCATGTGTGTCTCATGGAGCGTAAGATAAAATGAAAACAGAATTTCCCCATGGAGACTAATAAAGTGTTACTATTCTCTAGCCTAAGCATTTAGTCAGCAGCAGAAAGAGCCAGGCCAGAGTAAATGAATGAGAATACTCCAGTTCAAACGCCTATATACTACAGTAATTAAGGCATTTATTCTAAAGTAAGAGAAACACTGTTTATCTCTGCTTGCTGTTGCGTTCCAAGGACGTGGCTCCCATATCGAGCCTTAGTGCCACCTGTGACTGAGGGAACGGATCTGTCCCAGGAGAGGGATAAGCTGGATCGTTACTGAAGGTGACTCACCGTAATGAACGAGACATTTTTAATATTCACACCTGCGGCCTTCAATGGGACAGTAATGACGACGGAGTCGTGGGCTGATATTCAGATGAAGAGTTTGCGACAAGAAGCCAAGCGAGATCTCAGATACAGGCGACTCTGTATCCCAGTATTACATGTTCGGTGAGGGGATTTAATCCGAGCCACAATGGTGCATCCAACCAGCCGATCACCATCGTCAAGATGATCTTACAGATTTTTGTAGTTGATTGGGATAATCCCACCAGAAAATACCAAAGGGGGACACCCCCAGTCTCAAATGTAACCCCCAGTATTTCGTAGCCCCCCAGATGTACAACACTGTACAAAAGTCTTAGGCAGTCAAAGAAAATGTTTAAAGCTATTTACCTGGGTTGTAGGTGTATTTGTGCTCAGAACAAAAACACAATTTAACAGAACATGTATAAATTTACAGTAACACCATAAAACCTAACAAGAACTTCTTCTGTTCCCCAGAAAGTCAATGACATCTTGGTGGATAGCTAGATGAACACCACCCGCTTCAGCTCCCAAACCTCTCCTCAGGGGCACCTCAACCCTCCCATGCATTTGTTACATTTGATCATCAGCTCAATTAATTAACTATTTGAATTAGTTAAATAACTGAATGAGGTATTGATTAGCTAAACCGGGTTGGGGTAGTGATCAAGTCAAAAAATACATGCGCGTTTCGCACAATTGCTGCAAATATCGGGGTGACTGTAGGAGATGTTCTGAAATGGCTAAGCTGACACATTCTGACAGACTAATATCATAGTTTTGCACCAACATGAAGATCATTAAAATATCATTTTCTTTGATTGCCTATGACTTTTGCACAGTGCTATAGCTCTAACTGTAAAGACGATTGGAGACCGCTGTACTAAAATCACTTCCCTTTTCACCGAATCGTTACTTTCTGCTGCTGATGAGTGTTTCACTTGAGCCACCTCTTGAAGGTAAAAACAGGAACTCACGTTCTGGCTCACTGCCTCGGAGACGGTCTTGGAGAACATGAGGCAGGAGACGGTGCAGGCCAGGACGTGGAACAGGGTGTACATGAGGCGTGTGCTGGTGGAAGACTTGATGGAGGGGCAGCCGGAGCAGCAAAGGGAGCAGGGGGCTGGTCCACAGCAGCAACATATCTGAAGAGCAGGCAGAGGTTCGAGGCTCAAACCCACGGACCATGGAACTGGGGGTCCACACCGGACCCCCACCCAGGGAACTTCCAGAACATTGTTAAGAATGCAGTGGTGACCAATCATGAACAAATCACCTACATATAATTTAAGGCAAATACAACTTTATTAGTAAAAACCTGAATTATATACATCTTTTTTTAAAACGAAAATTGTGATTCTTAGGCAAATGATGATTGATTGATTGCTCACTGAGTTGTACAATCTCATAGCTACCAGTCAATTGTAATTTTAGACTGTATTTAACGTTACTTAATCGCTGGCATCAGTTACATCCCAGCATGCTACCTGAAGCAAAACAGTGTTTTGTGAGGTGAGCAAGTATTCACAATTTACAGTAAAAATGAAGAGGCAGACAGTTATATCTGCGTTTTGTTTTCAATCAAACACACAAGTAGAGATGATTTTAAATCATTTTATCAGATAATCTCCAAGAGTTTACAAGACAGACCCTTCAATGAATTGCCCAATAGAGTCTTTGCATCTTTTTCTGGCAGATGCATCTCTCTCAGCCTTTGTGTAAGTATCGGTGTGACTGAGGACTGGCCAGAGCCACACTGGTGCCGCGCTGAAGCGTCCGATTTCTGAGACCTTTCAGCAACAACATCCAAAGAGACTACTAAGGACTGCTTTGATTAGTTCCACCACACCACCATTAAACCATTACAGGTCATGATAACATTATTCTGCAAGACTTCTTATCATCGGCCACAAACGTCTGTTCTCAGCTTGAAAAATGTCCCAAATGAGTCTATATTATCAAAAGATGGCTGTACCTATGAGGAATTTACTTGTATTCATGGACTGTTTATAGAATTAGCTGTCTAGAGTTAAACTAGAAGGAATATGACGGGTAAGCATGAAGAAAAGGAGCTCAATCCATTAGTATGTAGCTCTGTATGACTTCTGGAAATTCTGCAATCAGATGCTGGTTTATATTTCTATTTAAATGTATCACTTTTCAGGATCTGCTCTGCATCTGTCTCCCACGGCCCGTGAGCATAACTAAACCTGAACAGAAATCTCTATGGTCCTCTTTTACACCTGTAGAAGCAAGTGATTTTAGGGGATGAGTCTGCATGTATAAACATACCTGTAAGCCATTCAGTTTCCGGACAGCTGGGCTAAATCTAAAAACCACAGGTCGCAAACCTTCAGTCTACACATTAGCCACATTAATATTAGTCCATGCAAATCAAGCCTAGGACTGGACCTCTCTCTCACCTGGTAGGCTACCATGTGTAGCAGGTAGTTGGAAACACCACTGCGCTGGTGCACCAGAGAGGAGGACATCTTCATCCACAGGAATGGTTGTTTCTGACCCCCTGCCCCCCCCGCCCCTTAGGTACGGTGTGAGCAGGTGGGTGGCAGGCCTCAATGAAAGCTCACAAATAATCACCAAATGAAAAGGGCATCAATCAGCAGCTGTGATCCAGATCCAGAACATGGTCCTTCAGATGATCCATAAATGATCTTGTCCAGCAGATTTTGGAGGACAGTTGCATTGTGAGGACATTATTCCCGTCTTCCCCTCCCTGGCAGATTAACAGCCTCCACAGGAAAACTGGACTTCAGGTGTCACTCACTCCGTGCATCTGTGATGACCTTAACCAAAAATCCAGAACGAACACAAGCCTGGCCTCCCTGCTCCACCCACTCTCCTCCCCCAAGGAAGATTAGCCAGCTATGGCCTGCACATCATGTCTGCCCATCTGTCCCCCAAAGCCCCTCCCCCACAAGCACTGCTACCTTATTGGCAGATACAAAATCTCAGTGAGTCTTGGCAAAGTTTTAGTACCACTTTGGTAAAAACAACATAATGGCCAATGAGGCGATTCTGCACGGTATTGGTCAAAAGAGGAGCCCCACGGTTTGTCAACAACAGGCCTAATTTCAGCCTCTGCATCCAAGAATTACAGCAAGAACTCCTTACTGTAACTTATTTTCCAGTGACCATGTGGAGTGTCTGATTATTTTGTTTATATGTGCCCCAAGGTGTTACTGCAGTGTGTGAACACACTGCACTGACTGGGGACTGTGTAGGACACCGGATTAAATGTGGGTCAGTGTACAGGGAAGCCAGTAGGATAATCCCACTTTTTTCTCCTCGGTCTTTTCCTGGATGGCTCGTGCTCCAGTCTGACGCACTAATCCATCTAGGAGATGTTAGGGTGTGGGCACACCTTGCTCACACATTCACCCAGAGCTGGGCATATGCTGACCAAGAATGTGCAAACACGCACCTCTCTGCCGCTCCCTTTCACCATTTCATACAGCTTGACCCCGAAGCACTAGGCCGTTCACTCACCAGATTTGTCATCAATGGGTTTAAACGTTTTGGATGCTAAACTCAGAACTTAGCTATTGTATGTTCCTGACTCTCAAATTCTAAAAGCCAATTAACAGATATTAATTATTGAGTTAAGTATTCAACTAAATTCTATTAATCATTCATTTTTATTCTTAAACTTGTACATCCCTTTAGACAAATAAAATAAATGTAAATACCAGCACCCTAAATAATCCTGCACAAGAAGCAGTAGTGCCACGTTAAAGAACTTCCCAAATGCACCATGTATCTGTCCTTCTGTGCCTTGCATTGAAATGACATTTATATAAGATAAAACAAAATGAATGGCTTACAAATACACCATGAGACAATATACTCCTACAGTTTGGCCCAGGATTTAATATTAGACCAGTAATCTTCTGACAGTTAAACCACTACAGCCATGAATTCACATAAACCAATTAGGGGTCTACGTAAGCACACATGACATCAGTTTGTTGTGAGACAGAATAGAATAGAATAGAATAGAACCTTTCTAATAAAGTTGAGAATACACACACACAGATAGACATTTTAAAAATACAAATCAGCAGAGGAGGAAAGTCCAGAATTTAAAAATCCAGACCAAGATTTTCTTTCAAGCAGTCAGTATGACGAGTCATGGTCACAGAGTTACTCTTGGTCTGGATTTTTATATTCTGTACCTGAACCTTCTATCTCTGCAAAATTGACAATTACAGATAATAAACAGCTCAACTTTCAGGCTTTTAAATATAAAGTTACCTATAAACAGCCAAAGTCAGTAGCTGTAGGGCAACAATTAACTGTAGCTGTAGGTCAATGAAACAATTAACAGCATTGCTAATGAAACTGCAAATTGCAAGAGACGATGGATTATACCCTCCCCCCCCCCCGATACACAAAATAAGTCAATGTCAACATGACAATCAAATCTACACTGATGACAATATTTCTCAGTAGAATAATTATTTGTGCCCTACGAGTTTAGTATTCCCAGTATTTATATTTTATTAGTGACTGAAACAGGATAGAAAACTGTCACATGTGCCCAATTAAGAGAAGGAAATCACAAGTTAATCAGTCTGTAATTATTATTAGAAATCTAAGTCAATCTTCAAGAAAAATCACAAGAACAAGTGTCTGTAGCCGTGGTGACTTTGAATGATTTGCAAAAAGTGGCTTTCATGAAGATCAAACAAGCTTAGGCAAGCCAAACACGACCAAGTCAGAGATTCAGTTAATTCAAGTCACAAATTTGCAATACTGGTAGTTAATAGTATTGTGCTTTGTAAGTTGCTAATAGTGTTAACTACTACGCTTTTTGGGCCCTTGACCGCACATACACCATACAGCTCTAGATCATGAGAGCACGTGATAACGGTGTTCCCCACATTTCCTTCCGAGTTCCCGCTCAGCCGGCGATAAACAGTTCCGCATTTCCACATACAACATGGCTGCGGAGGGGGACGTAGAGTTAGACCTGGAAGCGGAGGAAAACTGCACTGGAAAACCAGTGGAAAAACCCCGAAAACATGACAGCGGGGCTGCCGATTTGGAGCGAGTCACAGACTATGCAGAAGAAAAAGAAATCTCCAGCTCCGATCTACAAACGGTAGGCGCCAGTTTTCGCTTTCATCAGTAGTCTGTCACTGTGGTACTAGAAACTGTGGTGTTGCCATTGTGATCGCCAGAATAAATAAGAAATGGTCTAGAAAGTAATGCAATGTTTTGTATTTAATTGTAAAAAGGATTTATAGTAGCTTTTTAAAAGTTTTCCGATTTTCCCCCTACAATCAATAATATCCGCTATTCCATTTTAGATTATATTGTTAGTGTTTGGTTGAGCCATTCAATATGTCCCTGTAAATCACAATAGGAAATTAACAGTGCGTTTTTGTCATCAGGCCATGTCAGTGATCGGTGACAGACGATCGAGGGAACAGAAAGCGAAACAGGAGCGGTTAGTTGTTTTTACCTATTGTTTTTTACACTAGCTATTTTTCGAAAATGTAGTGCCCCGCCTGTCGTACAGTTGTATAATTTACGAACGTTCTGTTGCTTTTATAACATTCCAGGGAGAAAGAGCTAGCCAAGGTCATCATTAAGAAGGAAGACGTAGAACTAATCGTAAGCACACTACACATTTATGTACTTGTAAAAACAACAGTTTATACCTAGTTTACTGGGTGTCTGCGGAATCAGACACCCAGTAAACCTTAAATGTGATCATCTATGCACTTCTTTGCACCGAATCTCGATTAACCACACGCCTGTTCCCGGTCCACAGATGAGCGAGCTGGAGATCCCGCGGATCGTGGCCGAGCGCAGCTTGAGGGAGCACATGGGCAACGTGGTGGAGGCGCTGATCGCCCTCACGAACTGAGCCGGGCGGACCGGCAAAGCCGGCGTGCACTGACCTCATTCAAAGCTGGAAGTGACTCATGGGCCAAGTTATTTTAGGACTGCAAATAAAGCATTTCGGGATTTTTTCCCCTCCTTTTCCTCATTGAAGAAAAACGATTCCTTACCTGTTGGACATTTGATGTGAAACGTTACTGCCCCCAACCTTAATCTACAAAAGACAGGCTACAACTGGAATTACTGGATTTAATCAGTCTATAAAAGCCGTGAACACTCCAGAACATGGTTAATACAAGAATTAAGTTATTTACACAATTTCAAAGAATTAAGAAAATGGAAAAAAAACTGAAAAAACAGAAGTCTATGCCTAGAAAAAAAACAATGCCTTCATGTTTTAATTACACAGAAAACTGACAGATTAAACTGAGAATATACATAGACTGACAAATAGCATTCCCTGGGAAAAAAGCGAGCACCCATGCTATCCCCATATCAGGAAAATAGAACATATCCAAAACAATCACTTAGGAGAAATGTGTGTCTGTGTGTGTGTATCCATGGGCTCCCAACGTGCTATGAACAGATGGTCCTGTCTCACACACAGCTGTTCCCGTCTGTTCCTGTGGTGGGTGGTCTAGGGCCAGCATCAGTCTGGGTCTATCAGTTTAATGTACATCTTCCCCAACCCCACTCGTCTGCTCCATAGGGGATAAGTTCAGGTCTTCCTCTTCTGTACAGTGGGACGCTCAAACACATCTCTCACACCCCCCGCTTTCTGTTTAAAGAACTTGCTGTTCTGGGCACTCTCTTGAGCCCACGGGGAATCGAAGGAGGTGGTGTCCTGGTCCACCAAGTGTGTGTACTTAGTGCGTCCGGAGCGTCCAAAATTTTTGACCTGAAATTCACAACAGGACAAGACATAAAATTGTAAAAGGCCAATCTTTTGCAGGCATTAATTCAATACGTTATGCAATTCAATTTAAAGGACACGCAGCAGCAAATCCTGCACTGACCTGCATGACTTTGGGAAGGATCGTCTTGTTGAAATGGTCCTCCAAGGTGGGGGCACTGAAGTCTCTCTTGAATACATCCTGCTCTTCGTCCTGCATGGGAGGTGGGAGTGTAGGGTTGAAAAATGTTAATCAAACCAGAGACAAATCAGGCATGCTCTTTAAGCCTTCTGCACACATATCATACAGTTATCCATGTCTGCTCACCATGAAGAAGGCTCCTCTGTGGTAATACTTCTGGAGGAACTTGTATTTCCCCTTAATGGCCTTGTTGGTAACCTGTCTGCCACTGTTCCGGAGCTCAGCCCTGCGCTCCTCGTCTGTGAGGTTGTGGAACCTGTCAATTTCAGTCTTTTCCTTCTCCATGCTGTGCAACAACACAGTACAGAGAGTCAGGACCAATTCAGCAGGCAGACCCAGCTCAGCCAATTTCTGCTTGGTAGCATTCATGAAAAATAACAGCAAGAACTTTAAAACAAAAAACACTCACGCTTCTCGTGTTTCACGGTCCCGCTTGATGCGCTTCAGCTCACGGACCTTCCAGGCCTCATACTCTTCCTCCTCGTTCTCTCCATCTGTGTCCAATGCTTCCAGGGCGGCCAGCGTGCGTCGGTTCTCCTCAAACTCTTTCTTTGCCTCCTCCTCCACGATCTTGAGGGTGTAGCGCCTTCGTTCCTCCGCCTGTCTCTTGGCTTCGGCCTCCAGCTCCTTCTGCCTCTGCTCCTCTGCCTCGCGCTCAGCTACAGTCACCCTGTCCTTCCTAGAAGAAATGGGCAAATGACAGGCTTAAAAAAAAAAAAAACACACCTGCATGAGAATTAAGTAGGTGAATGAATCGTTGACATTACGACCAGACTTACAGAACACTTAGTTATCTGTAAATAATGGGAGAGTGTGCTCTTGCCATGAGAAAGAGCCTCTTACTTGCGGATGAAGACGGGTTTGAGCCGTGGCTCTGTCTCGTCTTCGCTGTCTGTGTATTCCTCATACTCTGACTCCGACTCTGACTCCTCCCCAGATTTGCCCTCTTCTTCCACCTCCATGATCTCCATTTCTTCATTCTTGCGCTCATGCGCTCGCTGACGCATCATCGCCCTACGCCTCTCGATTTCCTGTGCAGCGGCACCAAAGGCTCAACTGGCTATAATGTCCCAGTCCCCCAAGCTGCTAAGAAAAGAGTAAAACAACCGCCATCCCCTTTACCTCATCATCAACTTCCTCTTCCTCCTCCTCGTCGTCTTCTTCGCTGCTCTCGTCACGTTCAGGTTGCCATGTTCCTTCATCTGACTCCTCACTGGCCTCTGCCACCAGCTCTGGCTCGGCAATCTGTCTATGTCGTGCCAACCTAGGGGAGGGACAGGGAACCCACTCAACATGTTCAGGATACTCAGGCCATCCCAGATTTCACAGAAGCATGAGGGAAGATGCCAGGACCAACTGGTACCTTTCCTCCACATCCTCGGAGACACGGTTCATCAGACGCTTCAGGCGAGGGTCGGACACCTCTTCTTCCTCCAGCTCCACCTCAGGTTCTGCCTCCTTGCCCTTCTTCACAAACTGAAAATCCTCCTCCTCCTCATCCGAGGATTCCATAGGGGCATAATCGGGCCGCTTACCTGATACGTAGCGCTTCACCTTCACTTTCTCCATGGAAATCTCACCTGTAGAGCGATGGCATTGGAAATATCCCGTCTGTTAAACTGTCTCGCCATTGCTGTGAACTGATACTTTGCACTCAAATGCAATCAAAATGGCAACTTTTCACGTTAACGCTGAACTGTGCTAAAGTTATTAGATTAAGTCACTAAAATTGCATCACACGTCACACGTGTCGGTGTATAATATTTTTTTGGAAATTGGAGATATTGCATGTCAGTCGATTTAAACGTATGAACGAACATCAGAGCCGACGTTTCAGAAAAGCTCTGCGTGAGCTTGCGGTCTTGGCTGTCTGTTGCCGTGGCCTCTCCTTACCCTTTTCATTTCGCACCGGCACGGCTCCAGCCGTGGACTGGATCGGCGGCTGCTTCATGTTGAGAGCGTTCTGTCCCGACATGATGAATCAGGTATGCGAATACACACTATTATATGTATTATTTTCTTTATCCAAAGACACCCTTATTTTGCGCCTTCTCCTCTTAGGAACAGGAAGTAAATGTTAGCAACCGGATGTTGATGCTGTCCGACCACCGCAACATACCGTGATCACAAAGGTTCCGAGGTTCGACTTCCGGTTTTGGCCAGGGAGCTGCATATTTATCACTAGTGAAAGGTTGCTGTTCAAAGTTTCGTTCATTAATTAATTAATTAATCAACGCTTGTAGTAAAAATAAGAAATAGTGCTTGTTAAAACGTAAAGTCATAAATAAAATATTAACCTAAAATGCAATTTTTTATATGTAAATTGTGCTCAAGTTATGCTTAGTAGTTCCTTTATCTTCATTGTAAAGATGTTAAGTATATGAAGAGATAGCATTATGAAATGTGCAGAAATTCTTAATTCTAGTTATCTCATGGTGACATGGTAAATATTGCATCTATATGGTCCTACTTGTATACAAGAAAGTAAGCGTCCTCTCAATGTTATAGCAGGGCGCATGCGCAGTTTTAACAGTAGCCCTTTATTGCTATACTGTGACGTGTGGCTGTCCGAGCCAATAGAAAACGCGCTTACGCTCAGACGCAGGATTTGAATTCGATCGAAACTGTCAGTGGGAGAGAGTTGCGGCGAGGCTCTTCAGAATAAAAATATACGCATATATATTTATCGCATATATATATATAAGAAGAACTGCGAAAAGGTCGTTTGGAGCGTTGGTACCATGAGAAAGAGGTAAGTGCGAAATTTGATCGTCATTCTAACGGTCACGGGTGGAAGAAGTGGCCAGTTTTCTTTCTATGAAACTTCTAATTCGACTGTTCAGTGCGGTGCTGCCTCTGGTCTCTGATTCCGGTTCTTTTTGCGGTTCTGCTTCGTCACAGATTTGTCTTTGTGTGACTAGCAGTTTATATCCTTATATAGCTCAATGCTGTGCTTGTAACTACTAAACTAGACAATCCCGGTTAAACCAAGCAGCCGATTATTATCCGAGGCTCCTTATTTAGGGCTGCCGCATAAAAACAGGTGTCTGTACAAAGCGACGTCTGGTACAGCGAACGACCACAGCGCCATTTTGCCCAACACTTGTAACGTTACCTTAACCTTCCTAGAATATAATCCACCCAACCCGTCGAGACATACAGTACAGTCCAACATTTTTCCTAGGAACGCACACGACACCTGCTTGCTCGGTGGTTTGTTTGCTTGACCAGGCATACTCCTCTAGTCGCTTAGCGCTAAACGCAACTGCAGGTCGTTCCTGTGTCGGTACTTTTAAGTTTCAAAGCAGCCAAAGGACGATCATGGTACTGGGAATCGTTCTTTCTTAATACGGACAAGGTTTGTTTCTCATACTGGATCACTGAGTGTAGTTGGGGTGTCAGTCGAGAATAGGTGTGGCTCGTTCTGCTTCTGAGTAGAATTAATGGAGCCTGGCTGCTTGTAATAGGGGTGTGGTGTCCTAACGTCTGCAAAGTGCTCACTTAGGTTGTGGTCGTCTTTTGACAGTGAGGTCCTTGCCGCTGAATCTGTGGCATGCCTAAATAAAGCCCTGTGCCGCCTGAAAGACATCTGGGAGGAAATCGGGATCCCAGAGGACCAGCGGCTACAGAGGACAGAAGTGGTGAAGAAGCATGTCAGAGTGAGTGCTTATGCAGGACATGGTTTAATGGTTTAGGATTGTGCCTCCCTGCCTTTATGTCTGCCTGTGCTGCGTGGTACTCATTAGACTCCTGCTCTGGGTGCAGGGTTTGCTGGACATGATGATCGCAGAGGAAGAGAGCCTGAAGCAGCGATTGATGAACAGCATCGAGACGTGTCGCAAGGAGCTGGACGACTTGTGCAAGGAGCTGCAGCTACCGCCGTTCGAGGTGAGCCGGAGTCCTGAGGCCTCACCTGTGACTTCCTTGTGGACAGCCTGGTGTCTTGTGTTTAAGAGCACACTTGTGGTAGCAGTTCATAGGTCCTGGGAGGTGCCCTAATATAATATAAGGTTCCAGTGCGACACATTACACTGCATT